ATCTTAACAAACTACTTTCATTACATGCTATATAATATCTTGTATACTTATTTATCCCCTTTTTCATAAAATATGTATTACTTATTACCAAACCTCTGCCCCCCATTTTCATTTACCCCTGGCACCCCAAATTTACTTACTACTTCCTCTACAACATTTTTACCCACTTCAGCGCTGAGATCCCCAACCACAAGTACTCTTTCATTTGGTTCAAAACTCCCCACGCACTCACTCAATTTCCTAAAATCTCTCTCTCTCCTCCAGGTGCATAAACAGTTACTATAACCCACTTTTCATACCCATCCCTTATTTTACTCCACATAATCCTTGAATACATACATTTATATCCCTTCTTTTCCTGCCATAATTTATCCTTCAACATTATTGCTATTTCTTCCTTAGCTCTTCCGAGGAGGGAGGGAGGGAGGGAGGGAGGAGCCCCTACTCACACCAACTGAAACAGCAGACTTAATGTTTTCTTCTCCACCATAGGAAAAAATCTAGCAAACAAAATACCAAGCTCAAACATCCGTCCATCAGACTACCTCATGGGTACCTACCCAAATACGCTATTCCTAGCTCCAACCAACCCCATAGAAGTTACACTCATCATAAACACCCTTAAAAACAAGGCAGGAGACATAAATAACTTGCCTGCTTTTATGTACAAAAAAGCTTCTCAAGTATTGTCACCAATTATTGCAACGCTCTTAAACAAATCCACTGAATCATCTACCTTCCCAACAATCCTCAAAATAGCGAGGGTCACTCCGATCCACAAAGGAGGTGACCAAGCTGACTTGAATAACTATAGACCCAAAATCTAACTTACCACTGCTCTCTAAATTCTTTGAAAAAATTTAAATTTATAGACGGATCTATTCCTACCTCGTCTCACACAAATATTAAACCCTTGTCAGTTTGGATTCAGGAATAATAAAAGCACAAATGACGCTATCATACACATGCTAGAACTAATATTACCAGCACTCAAAAAGAAAGAAGTCCCGCTGGGCATTTTCATTATTTACGTAAAGCTTTTGATAGAGTCGACATGAACGCTGTACTCTAAATTAACGCACTATGGTATCACAGGCCATCCCTCCACCCCCAAGTCTATACTTAGTAACAGAATCCTCATTGTGATGCAAATATGCAAAACTCTCCACCCAACAATCACGTACGGAGTCCCAAAGGAAGTTGAATTAGTTCTAACTTCTTTCTACTCATTCACTGTCTACTGAATGAAATCACGCTACTCAAATTTGATCAGCATTATTTGAGATGACAAACATACTATCTCCCACCCAAACCCAATCAATACTCGCACAAACTGCAATGTCCGAATTGGCAGATTAATATTGCTGGATGATTTAGATAAGATTACCATGAACTCTGATAAAACCTATTTCATTCAGTTTGGAAACAAGGCACATTTCCACTTACATAACGCTAACTGGATCATTGGTCACAAACTTGCAGAGGGAAAATTCCTAGATCCACCTTGGCCCGGAGGTCTGGTGGCCTAAAGCTCCCGGCTTGGCATCCTTTGAGGGCCGGGTTCATTCGCGAGGTGGAAATCCGACACTTCCTTACATTATTGTCCTGTTCACTACTTCGCAAATAGGTACCTGTGTAGTCGACTAGTGGTCGCATCCATGCGGGGACAAATTAGGACCCAATGGAAATAAGTTAGACCAGTCCTCGATAGACGCACTGTCTTTCTTGGGTTATCCTGGTTTGCTTAACCCTCGGGTTAAAAGATCGATACGAAATCTTATCTTATCTATCTTATCTTATCTTGACAGAAGCCTTAAGTTCCAGACACATATACAACAAATCACCAAGAAAACCTCTAAGACTGTAGGCATACTATCAAAGATACGGTACTACGTTCCACAATCAGCTCTCCTGGCACTGAACCATTCACTCATATACCTTATCTCACATATGGAATTTGTGCATGTGAATCAACAACATTAAATCACCTAAAACCTCTAATAACCCAGCAAAAGGCAGCAGTCAGAATGATAACAAATTCCCACTCCCGCCAGCATACTCCACCAATTTTCAAAAGTCTAAATCTGTTCACCATTAAGAACATTCATACTTATGTGCCTACTACATACACAGAACAATACACACAAATATAAACCCTCCACTCAAACTTCTCACCAACCTTAACAGGACACATGACCATAACACAAGACAGATCTCTTTTTGATGTACCTCATGTCCATATCACACTGTGTAAAAACTCTATGCACATAAAGGGCCCCAAAATATGGAATTCATTACCAGAAGATACTAAAGTAACCCGGTCTGAAAATCAACTTAAGACTCTTCTCAAAAGCCACTTAACCCCTTCAGGGTCCAAGGTCCAAATCTGAAGTGGTGCCCCAGTGTCCAAGAATTTAAAAAAAAAAAATTTCTTATTTTTTCTTACGAAATGGTAGAGAATCTTTTTGTGAAGGTAATAAAACAAAAAGTACGAAATTTGATGGAAAATTGACGAAATTATGCTCTCGCGAATTTTGATGTGTCAGCGATATTTACGAATCGGCGATTTTGCCGACTTTGACTCCCATTTTAGGCCAATTACATTATTCCAGTCAACCAAATTCTTAGCTATTTCACTAGTATTACTTCTATTCTATCGATTGAGCACAAGAAATCGCCAAGTCAACTGTTTCAACTACAAATTAAAGTGATCGGAAATTGTTAATTTGGCCAATTTAACACAAAGTTCAAAATATTCCAATTTCAAAATAGGGTCCAGAATAAACAATGTAGGTATTCCTGGAACTAAACTAAGATTTCCTCTGTTCATTAGTTATGGTTTTGAGGCTTTACAAATAAATTCCATTTTGATTTTTTATTCACATAATGAATTTTTATTCACACCAAAAAATAGAAGATTTACTGTTATGCAATACTGTAATAATTGTATAAATATCATCACCATATTTGTGAATGCATATTAGACCCACCAGCTGGCGTGTATTAGACGTGTGAGGTCGTTTGTTTACTCTTGAATATCGGCAAAAATTTAACATTTCTGCTACTTTGAGCTCAGTTTCAAGCCATTTCCAGTGCTAAAACCAATCAAAATCATCTCTATTTCTGTAATATGTCTTCCATTCTATCAAATGAGACCAAGAAATCGCAAATAGAACTATAAAAAAACATATGAAAAACACTGCAAAGTCGCTGTTTTAATAAAAAAATCATGATTTCAGTTTTTTTCTCTCATTATACACAGTGTGCTGCAGGATCTGTTTTATGTGGTGCACACATACCACATAGATGTATTCTCTCATATCTAGGCCCAAATGTACCACTCACAGTTTATCAGAGTGAGCTGAGCTCATGACGTAGATCTACGGTTTGGACCCTGAACGTAAAGCCGTAGATCTACGGGACGGACCCTCAAAGGGTTAATCACCCTAGACTAAATGTTAAATATTCAGTACTCACATACTCAACATGTATTCCCATATCATAATTCCTACAACTACTTTTGAACCTTTTATCCATTGTTGACAGGAATATAATTGAATCATTGCCTTCACAAAAAGTATTTTTGAATATATGAATATATCTTTTGTCTTATATAAATTAGATTCACTTATAATTGATAATCTACTATACAACTATGATATAATTAATATTCTACTGTATAACTATGATATAATTTTTAGTGTTAAGTAGTCAGTCGGTCCATAATGCCTAGGCATAATAGAGGCTCTCTTTGCATTGCAACCCATTATTGTAAATACATAATCTCAATGTACTATTTGCAAAGACATAAATAAATAAATAAATAAATTTGTGTACCTGTGAGACAGAGATAGACAGACAAATAGATAGACAGGGATAGACAGACATAGACAGAGACAAAGACAGAGATAGAGACAGAGAGAGAGAGGCAGAGATAGACATAGATACAGACAGACAAACGGAGATAGAACCAGGCCGCCAGCAGCCAGCCAGCTAGCCAATCAGCCAGTCAGCCAATCAGCCAGTCAGCCAGCCAGCCAGAATTGTTTCTCTTTACTTAGGGCATAGGTTATAAGACATTCTGAAAGGGTGTTGCACATGGGTTATTATCGAGATTTTCTTGATATGTCATCGACCACTTATGGCCACATCCACCTCAAAGCCACTAAACTTGGGGTCAAAATCACTTTCCTCTTAAAATGGCAGAGTTAATACTACATGAAATCAGTGAATCCCAGGTGTTTGCTGTGCTGTTTGCTCTAGCTGGCGCTCATTTGAACTGGTGCTCCCACAAGGTACTAAGTGGTCCCAGATTTTTTTAATACTGCACACACTAAGTGTTAGGACCCATTCTATGCTGACAAAGCATCTCAGGCCAATCGTGCCAAATTTGAAGGCAGGAAAAATAAAACGTATACACCTACCATCCGACTTACGACCTGCTCGACTTACGACCACTCGACTTACGACCGTGTTTTTTATGCCAAATTTCTGGGAAATAAACAACTATTTGTATTGTACACAGTGTTTATCCTAAACCTTACAGTATAAAATATAGTACTAACAACATAAAAAGTAAAGTAAAACATGAAATACCAAAATAAAACAATAAAATTACAAAAATGTTTTGTTGATATTCAGTAGTAAAGTTCAACTTACGACCATTTCGACTTACACGGTTTCTCGGAACCCAACTTGGTCGTAAGTTGGATGGTAGGTGTATATACATTTGGGGCACTAGCGGTAAAAACGTATGTATAAGTTCGGACCGTTTACGGGTTAAAGAACTTGAAATTTCAGAGTTTCCAGATATAATGGAGAGACGTGAGCTCACAGAGGTTGTAAACAAACAAGAGTGGCGCACAGTGACCGTATTAGCGAGTCAGGTGGGGGGAGCCATCGTGATTTGAAATGTCTGTATTAGTGAAACGCCATAAAGCTGGGGCCTACTGTACATTTCTAACATGTTACTCATTATTAAATTACAGTACTGTGCTTACCTTACAGCTTATCTTACTGAAATGGCGAAATTGTATGTTGGCATCAATATCTGCAGAATTAATCATTTTGTTTAATTTTTCAATGGTGATGTGTTCCTCTGCATCAGTGCGAGGAGGAAACTGATATCTGCACTTACAATTACCCCTGATCTTGCAGATGAGACATCTTTTCTTTCTAATGACTTTATTATATTCTGAATCCTTTTCAATCCACGACTGAAAAATTCTTGCCTTCTGGATCGACTCTTTATTTTCCAAGTAACATACTTTTTCTCTAAGAGCTTCCCGAGCATGCTGTATGTTGGCTGGTGAGCCAACAATCTTGATAATGTTACTCTGATCCTCTGGTTTGGGCATTTGAATATTCACATCAAATTCTGTCATCACATTAAGAATATTTTTGAAATTCTGTCCAATAATGAAACGGTGGTGTCTGAAAGCAATGTTCTCTTCAACAGTAACTGGCACTAGATTTAGAAGGGCATCACGAGCAACTTTACATCTGTCTTCCTGGCCTGTAATACGCACAATGTCTTGAGGCTTCACACCTGCCTCTTCACTAACCTTGCAATTTAGTTGTCCATGATTTTGTTTACCCCTGGCAAAATAGCCTCTGTCTTTTTCAGGAAATCTTATGTATACTTTGAACTTTGTGGCGAGTGCCTGCACCTTACTGCCCCGGACACCCTGGAGGAAATCATGATATATTTGTGGAATAATTACTTCCAAGGTCAACCCATGAAGATTATTCACCATCTCCTGGATGTAATCCTTAGCTCTTTCAACATACTTTCTAAGTCCTCTGAAGGTAACCTGAAATATTTTAAGAACAAATTAAAACACATAATGAAAGAGTAATACATATTTCATCTCAAGCAGAAAAAAAGAATCAGTAGGATTATACACTGAGTTGTTCAACTGTCATCAAATCACTTCTGGAGAAATTGAAAAAAAATTCGCCTGCCCAATACCAAAGGTTTCTCAACATTTTTTACTGCAGCTCAATACAGGAATGATAATCTAAAATCTTCTAAACATTAAATGTATTTAAAAACAATAAGGCATGAAGAAGAGCAGAATGTAAGTGTGGGGGAGATACGTGAGGCATTACGTAGAATGAAAGGGGGTAAAGCAGCTGGAACTGATGGGATCATGACAGAAATGTTAAAAGCAGGGGGATATACATGTACATGTATAGTGTTGGAGTGGTTGGTACTTTTGTTTAATAAATGTATGAAAGAGGGGAAGGTACCTAGGGATTGGCAGAGAGCATGTATAGTCCCTTTATATAAAGGGAAAGGGGACAAAAGAGATTGTAAAAATTATAGAGGAATAAGTTTAATGAGTATACCAGGAAAAGTGTATGGTAGGGTTATAATTGAAAGAATTAGAGGTAAGACAGAATGTAGGATTGCGGATGAGCAAGGAGGTTTCAGAGTGGGTAGGGGATATGTAGATCAAGTATTTACATTGAAGCATATATGTGAACAGTATTTAGATAAAGGTAGGGAAGTTTTTATTGCATTTATGGATTTAGAAAAGGCATATGATAGAGTGGATAGAGGAGCAATGTGGCAGATGTTGCAAGTATATGGAATAGGTGGTAAGTTACTAAATGCTGTAAAGTTTTTTTATGAGGATAGTGAGGCGCAGGTTAGGGTGTGTAGAAGAGAGGGAGACTACTTCCCGGTAAAAGTAGGTCTTAGACAGGGATGTGTAATGTCACCATGGTTGTTTAATATATTTATAGATGGGGTTGTAAAAGAAGTAAATGCTAGGGAATTTGGGAGAGGGGTGGGATTAAATTATGGGAATCAAATTCAAAATGGGAATTGACACAGTTACTTTTTGCTGATGATACTGTGCTTATGGGAGATTCTAAAGAAAAATTGCAAAGGTTAGTGGATGAGTTTGGGAATGTGTGTAAAGGTTGAAAGTTGAAAGTGAACATAGAAAAGAGTAAAGTGATGAGGGTATCAAATGATTTAGATAAAGAAAAATTGGATATCAAATTGGGGAGGAGGAGTATGGAAGAAGTGAATGTTTTCAGATACTTGGGAGTTGACGTGTCGGCGGATGGATTTATGAAGGATGAGGTTAATCATAGAATTGATGAGGGAAAAAAGGTGAGTGGTGCGTTGAGGTATATGTGGAGTCAAAAAAACGTTATCTATGGAGGCAAAGAAGGGAATGTATGAAAGTATAGTAGTACCAACACTCTTATATGGATGTGAAGCTTGGGTGGTAAATGCAGCAGCGAGGAGATGGTTGGAGGCAGTGGAGATGTCCTGTCTAAGGGCAATGTGTGGTGTAAATATTATGCAGAAAATTTGGAGTGTGGAAATTAGGAAAAGGTGTGGCATTAATAAAAGTATTAGTCAGAGGGCAGAAGAGGGGTTGTTGAGGTGGTTTGGTCATTTAGAGAGAATGGATCAAAGTAGAATGACATGGCAAGCATATAAATCTATAGGGAAAGGAAGGCGGGGTAGGGGTCATCCTCGAAAGGGTTGGAGAGAGGGGGTAAAGGAGGTTTTGTGGGCGAGGGGCTTGGACTTTCAGCAGGCGTGCGTGAGTGTGTTAGATAGGAGTGAATGGAGTGAATGGAGACGAATGGTATTTGGGACCTGACGATCTGTTGGAGTATGAGCAGGGTAATATTTAGTGAAGGGATTCAGGGAAACCGGTTATTTTCATATAGTCGGACTTGAGTCCTGGAAATGGGAAGTACAATGCCTGCACTTTAAAGGAGGGTTTTGCCATACTGGCAGTTTGGAGGGATATGTTATGTATCTTTATACGTATATGCTTCTAAACTGTTGTATTCTGAGCACCTCTGCAAAAACAGTGATAATGTGTGAGTGTGATGAAAGTGTTGAATGATGATGAAAGTATTTTCTTTTTGAGGATTTTCTTTCTTTTTTGGGTCACCCTGCCTCAGTGGGAGACGGCCGACTTGTTGAAAAAAAAAAAAAAAAGGCCTCAACTCACAACATAACTGCGAACTTGAAAATTAATTTAAGTCCACTACTTGGCACTCGGAACTTCCTCAAACTTAAAATTGTTTCAACTTCATTGTTTTAAATTGCACTCAATTGTAATACAGTGGACCCCCGCTTAACGATCACCTCCCAATGCGACAAATTATGTAAGTGTATTTATGTAAGTGTGTTTGTACGTGTATGTTTGGGGGTCTGAAATGGACTAATCTACTTCACAATATTCCTTATGGTAACAAATTCGGTCAGTATTGGCACCTGAACATACTTCTGGGAATGAAAAAATATCGTTAACCGGGGGTCCACTGTACTGTATTATTATATATCAAAACTGGAATTTTTCTCTACCTAACTTATTAAAACCACATAGCTCGAACTAATAGAATATTCAAATTCATTGTAATTCACGTAAAGACCATATGTACAAGTTACAGCAATGTATTTCCCTATTACAGTGGACCCCCGGATTACGACATTAATCAGTCCCAGAGAGCATGTCTTTTACTTAATCTGTCGTAATCCGAATTAATTTTCCTCATAAGAAATAATGGAAATCCAATTAATCCATTCCAGACACCCAAAAGTATTAAACAAAATAATTTTTTTACATGAAACATACTTTTCCCTACACAGAAAACAATGAGACATGCAGAATAAATAAATAAGGAAGTGGCACTTACCTTTATTGAAGACTTATTGATGAGTTATGAGACAATAATTTTCTTGAACACTCTGGGATTTTCAGAGTGATACATGAGTAAAGGCTTAACTTTGCAATCCCCACTAGCATTACAACAAAACATGAGAGTTAGCCTGTCTTTCATAGGCTTGTGTCCTGGGAGTGCCTTTTTTCTTCTGAGTAATGTAGGTCCTATTTGGCATTTTCTTCCCGAACAGGCCTGTTTCATCACAATTGAACACTTGTTGGGGATGGAATTTTTTAGCCTCGCCATGCCTTATCACACTGTGTATGCCACTACAATTCTTAAATCTCTCAAACCAACCTTTGGTGGCCTTAAATTCACCAATATGAGCACTAGTTCCAGGCATTTTTTCCTGTTCACCTGGGTGCTAGTCAACTGGTGTGGGTCGCATCCTGGAGGACAAGCTTAACCCCTTCAGGGTCCAAGGCCCAAATCTGAAGTGGTGCCCCAGTGTCCAAGAATTTAAAAAAAAAAAAATTTGTTATTTTTTCTTATGAAATGGTAGAGAATCTTTTTGTGAAGGTAGTAAAACAAAAAGTACGAAATTTGATGGAAAATTGACGAAATTATGCTCTCGCGAATTTTGATGTGTCAGCGATATTTACGAATCGGCGATTTTGCCGAACTTTGACTCCCATTTTAGGCCAATTACATTATTCCAGTCAACCAAATTCTTAGCTATTTCACTAGTATTACTTCTATTCTATCGATTGAGCACAAGAAATCGCCAAGTCAACTGTTTCAACTACAAAATTAAAGTGATCGGAAATTGTTAATTTGGCCAATTTAACACAAAGTTCAAAATATTCCAATTTCAAAATAGGGTCCAGAATAAACAATGTAGGTATTCCTGGAACTAAACTAACATTTCCTCTGTTCATTAGTTATGTTTTGAGGCTTTACAAATAAATTCCATTTTGATTTTTTATTCACATAATGAATTTTTATTCACACCAAAAAATAGAAGATTTACTGTTATGCAATACTGTAATAATTGTATAAATATCATCACCATATTTGTGAATGCATATTAGACCCACCAGCTGGCGTGTATTAGACGTGTGAGGTCGTTTGTTTACTCTTGAATATCGGCAAAAATTTAACATTTCTGCTACTTTGAGCTCAGTTTCAAGCCATTTCCAGTGCTAAAACCAATCAAAATCATCTCTATTTCTGTAATATGTCTTCCATTCTATCAAATGAGACCAAGAAATCGCAAATACAACTATAAAAAGCATACGAAAAAACACTGCAAAGTTGCTGTTTTAATCAAAAAATCATGATTTCAGTTTTTTTTCTCTCATTATACACAGTGTGCTGCAGGATCTGTTTTATGTGGTGCACACATACCACATAGACGTATTCTCTCATATCTAGGCCCAAATGTACCACTCATAGTTTATCAGAGTGAGCTGAGCTCATGACGTAGATCTATGGTTTGGACCCTGAACGTAAAGCCGTAGATCTACGGGACGGACCCAGAAAGGGTTAAGGACCCCAATGGAAATAAGTTAGACATTCCTTGATGACACACTGACTCTCTTGGGTTATCCTGGGTGGGTAACCCTCTGGGGTTAATTGTTTCTCGGATAACTGCTTCTCGATGATCCACACCAACAACAGTCTCTCCACATCTTCGAGTAGTATTTGCAATCTCTGTTTTGTAAGCATATTTGCACCATTAGCAACAACAGCTTCCTTGATTGCCTTTTTCTTGGCCAAGATAGTAGCAATGGTTGTATGGGGTTTGTTATACAACCTGGCCAGCTCAGAGACACGCACTCCACTTTCGTATTTTGCGATGAATTCTATAGTGTTTCTCACCCTCTTTACCAAAGGGCTGGCACTAAAAGCTTTCTTTGGGCTCATGGTGGCTTATTTACCAGTTATAAGCACTAAAAACAATGGATTAATACAAAATGTATTGCATGTACACGTGGAATCGTCCTCACTGGCTTGTAAACAATGGCACACTGGCTGTGCATGGAGTGGCCAGGCTTCTCACGGTGCACGGACACATTCGGGACTAATGACTTTAACAAGTTCTTTGTCGTTAACCGAGCCAATATTTTGACGCAAGAACGTTACTTAATCTGATTTTTATGTAATCCGA